CCTACTCTTATACTTTCTCTGACTGACTTAAAAATCATATTCTCTTCTTGAGCCGATTATATTTTAAGAGTTTTTTTCTTATTTATTAGGGTGAGATGTTCTTCTTGTCTTATTTAAAGGATTTTTTTTTTCTATTAATGGTGGTTCTAGGTCTTGGGTTCTAAACAATTTTTTTCTTCTCTGACATATGTTGGTTTATTTTGGCTTGGTCTCTCACTTGAGAGTTGATGGTTTTCTTTTTCTGCAATAATAGCGAGATTCTTCTTGTAATTTATACTTAGTCAAGAATCTTGATTATGAACAATATTCAATTTTGCTTACAAACTTCAACCAAGAACAATAACTCATTACCTAAATGTTTATGAGTGAGAACATAACGTCTACCACAAGTATCAAAAAATACAAGGGTGACTTACAACTATACAAGAGACTCTCAAAACCTAATACTTTAAGTTTCCCCTAATTTAAAAATTATTAAAAGTTCAAACTACATTAGGTTATGATTCCCCTTTAAATACACCTCTACAGTCCATGAATTTCAAAATATGCATCCAGATATTTCTTGATCTATAAGCTGAGTGATGCACCAATTGTGTATCAAAATCTCTTTAAATCTTGGAACAAACAATACAAAGTTTCCTAAATTGTCTCAATGCGCAATTTAGTAATTAATGTACAACTAGAGATATAAAACATGTTCCAGATAAAATCTTCTAGACCTACAAAATTTACTGAGATATATCTCAAAAAATATCACAGAATCAAATCAAATTTGTCAAGATTTTAAAATAGCAGTACATATTGTACTAGACCAAGATGTCATGACATCTACTTCGACATCTGACAAAAAAAACTCATAACATCAAACTATTTTTACATTTGATAATAATACCGCAACACGTTGATCAACATAAGTATTGAATCATATTTTAACAAAATATATAATCCTAAAACTATGGAACTAATAAATTGATTCCTTTAATCTTTGATTCTACATGCAAGATGAAAAATGGATTTGAAACTCTTCTTCCCTTCCTCCTCTCTCTCTCTTCCACGAGCTCTCCTTCTCCATCTCTCTCTAATTTATGAAATTGCAATGTGAAAATGAGAAAAATTTTCATATTTGGATTATATACTCATGAAATTGAAACAAATGCCCTCATGTTTTCCTAAATTGTCAAATGTGTCCCAAATGATATTAATCTTAGAGATTATTAAATAATAACACTAATACTTCCATTTTCATGTGGAAATGCAATGTGTAAAGATGACATGGGTATTACAAGAACCCTTGATCTTCAACCACTTTTTCTACTTCGATCATTAGTATTTAATCTATGTTTTACTCGAAGTAATTGTATAATAAGATGGTAGAACGATGAAGACTGCATGTGAGTTTTTTTTTTTTTGTGAGGTGACAAAAATGAAACTCTCTTCATGTTGAGGATGAAGAAAAATATAAGAGGAGAGTGGAAAAATAAAAAGAAGTAGTAAAAAATATGATATTTCTCCCTTTGTTGACTATCTATATGCATATGCATAAGAGTAAATTCTAAAATAGTCTCATTAATTATATCACACCTCATCCATCCTATATATCTATTAACTAATGCAATCTTGAACTATAGCTAAATAACAATCATTCCCTTACTCTTGAATTAAATTGCAAATATATCCTTCATATCCTTTATTTTATTTATTTATAAATGGTTAATAATTTTTGTCACTTTAAGTATGACTTATAATTTGATATAAATTGGGGTTAGTTTATTGGATGTTATATTCGTGATTAGGAAAAATACATAATGTTATATTTTAAGAAGAAAAAGAAAACACATGAGATAGTATTTATTAGACTGGAGAAATAATAAACAGACATACATTTGTCTTATAACAAACATATTTCAGTATAACTGTAAACGAATAAACATATTTTTTTACACAATCGATTAAATATAATAATTAAATCATTAAAAAATTAAACTTTAAATTTAACCACTTTTACTATTACACAAATGGTTGACTGTAATGTGACTTGTTTACTCAATCATGTAAATGAAAATTAGTCGGACTTTAAATACATTTTAAATATTGATGAATTTTTAATATCTACATATTCTATAAGCATTTTTTTTTTAAATCTTACCCAATTAACATTCCATTTTAATACAATTTTTAATATTCTGATTGACTTTAATTTTTTTAGGGTATGCTAAGTTCTATTGTTTGGTTTTACAAAAAAAATGAATAGAATAAAATGGAATATGATGGAATCAATTTCATCTAATACTATTACTTTAGTCTATTTTTCATTTCATTTAAATTAGGGTGTATTCAATTGAATTGAATAAATTAATAACACAATTCCAATTTTATTTTTCAAACTTTTACATTAACCATATTAATGTTTTTAATGTAAAGGGTAAAAGTGGAACAATACAATTATAATGCCTCCTGCTTCGTTCAATTTTTAAACAGTAAAATGTGATATTAGTTTTGCTCTTAAAATATTAAAACAATGGAATCAAATTTATGTTCTTTTCTATTCTATTTCGCTTCATTCTATTTTGTTTCGCTCCGCTCCATTATGTTAGTTTTAATTTAAATTTTATGAATTGTTATCTTAAAAATATAAAAAGATTTAATACTCTTTTTACTCTGTATGTTAAAGTCGAGATTCATTTTGTTCTTTTAACTTAAAAAAATATATATTAATCCCTTAACTTTTAAAAATTATCATAATAATCATTTTCGTCTAATTAATAATAAATTTTACCACCAATTTTAGAGTTTTTCAATTGTTAATTAGATAAAAAAAATTAATATTTAAAAAATAAGATGACGAATATAACACTTTTTTTTTAAAAATTAAGAGATTAAAATCGACAAATTAATATATGAGACAAAAAGATATTAAACATTATATTAAATAACATAGTGGTAAATATTTAATGACGAAAGGTGAATTAAAGGTAAAAAATTAACAATAAGACTTTAAAAACTTTTCCTTATAAGTAATTTATACACTATTTTGGTCAAACAATATTAATATTGGTAAGATATAAATAATTTTTTATACAATGTTTATATGTATAGCTTTATACTATTAGTAGATGAATAGTAGATGAATAGTATATATATATATATATATATATATATATATATATATATATATATATATATATATATATATATATATATATATATATATATATATATATATATATATATATATATATATATATATATATATATATTATTGTTAGAGTTTTGGTCCTTCAAATTTTTTTTGTTGAATTAGAATCTGACTTTATATTTTTTAGATGCTATTTTATGTATATAGGATGTTAATATATGTATTTTGTTACAACTTTATGTATTTTGTGTGATTGATTTAATCTAAGATTGAAAAAATAGGTAACTAAACATATATTTGTTAACTTATAGGATCAAGTTGTTATAAAAGAAATTTAAGGGACCAATTTATATATATATATATATATATATATATATATATATATATATATATATATATATATATATATATATATATATATATTCTTTTTTATTTAATAAATGACCTTTATTAAATATCTATATATGATTATTAAAAAATTAATACCACTATTAAATTATTGAAAGTTTTGAATAATCACATTGGCCAAATTTAGTGATTTTAAACTTGTCACTTTCATGATTTTGAAATCACTTTCCTTATATATCCTTAAATAATTTTCTATATTATAAATTAGGGTTACAACTATGAAACTTATTTCTTATTGTCAATTAATCTTTTCTGAGTTCTCTTGAAAGAATTAATTTTCATAATCATAGTGAATAATTTTTGGGTTATTCATAGAAAAATAACTCAAAATAATGGACATATTCGTCCTAATGAGTATGAGAATCAAATCTCCAATAATCATTTATTATCAAACACTCACTTTTAAATCTCAAAAAATTCTTTCACAAGTCTCAGCAATTACAATCAAGGTATAATTATATTTTTTAAGTGTTGATTTTTTTGAATCTTACATGTTTTTTTTATTATTATATGTTTGAAGAGTCAGTTCAGCGGTAAGAGTTTAACTTTGGTTTAAATTATAAATATTTTCGGAGACTATTGTAAAATGACATTAATTTTATTTTAATTTAAAAAACTTAAAATCTTTGAATGGAAATGTATCTTGGTAGGTTTGTGACTACCTCATGCACTTTCTTCCACTGTTTTAGAAACTCAATTGATTTTCATATTCACTAGCAAGTTAAAAGTCTTTAACTGATTTTTTTTTGTAAAGTGTTTCTATGGGCTGAGATTTAACTTCTTTTTTTCTGTCTAGTATTTGTTTTGTTAATTTTCTTTTATATTATTTATTTGACGTTTATTTTTTGCTGTGAAGTTTTTATATTCTATTTGCTTAGGTAGTGCATTGAATTGGTAGTTGTTGTACCTTATTTTATATGAATGTTTGTGCTCTTGGAATTTGATGTCTCTTTTTATTTATATGTATTATCTGTCCTTAATAAAATTAATAATACATGGATGATTCGGAAGACAAGAATATTTTCAGCCTATAAATGATATATTCTTATGTCTTCGACCTACTCTTATATTTTCTCTGACTGACTTAAAAATCATATTATCTTCATGAGCCGATAACATTTTGAGAGTTTTTTTCTTATTTATTAGGGTGAGGTGTTCTTCTTATCTTATTTAGAGGATTTTGGTCTATTAATGGTGGTTCTAGGTCTTGGGTTCTAGCCGGTTTTCTTTTTCTTTGACATATGTTAGTTTATTTTGGCTTGGTCTCTCACTTGAGAGTTGATGGTTTTCATTTTCTACGGTAATAGCACGATACTTCTTGTAATTGATGTTTATTTTAAATTTTCGCCTTCATTTTGTTGAAATTTTATTTTTAAACTTAGATTAATATTCACTTCACATGTTAAATGCAGGGATGTATCTGAATAATAATATTGTCGCTGCTACAACACAACCAATGGTTCAATTTTCATTCTATAGCAATAACCCTTCCTCCTTCCAAACACAGGCTCGATATGGTCAAACATTGCCTTTGAGTTCAAGAAACAATACTTTCATTCCTTCTTATCTTCCAAACCCGTCTCGAATTCCCTCATCGAGTTTAGGAAACACTTCTCTCATTCCTTCTTCTCTTCCAAACTCGTCTCAAATTTCCTCCTTGAGACTAGGCAACACTCCTCTGATTCCTTTTAATCTTGCAAACCAGTATCGAATTTCCTCATCAATTTTAGGCAACACTTCTCTCATTCCTTCTTATCCTCGTAACGCATATCAAAATTCCTCATCCAATAGTGTTACACCTAAATATCATAACTCTTCGAGACCAATTCTTCAGAATCAAATGAATTTTCGATATTCTCCATATTTCGAGGGTTCCAATCATACAAATAATTTTAACCCTTTAGTATTGAATGATTCCAATCCTCGTTCAAAGACCCATTTGAATAGCTATCAAGGTTTGGAGGATATTGCTATACTTAATGCAAATCCTAACAATAATAATAATAATCCTTTAGCATTTAATGATTCCAATCCTCGTTCAGGGATTGATTTGAATAACCACCAAAGTTTGAACAATATTTTTATATAAAATGCAAATCCTCTTGAATTTTGTCCGATTAAAATTATTGATTTAAGCATGTTTTATTCTTCAGGCCATGGAAATGCTAGTTTGGATTCAACAATGGAACATCATGTGACTACTTTTACTATTACTTTTAATGAAACATAAACTCAAAATAAAGAACTACTTTTTTTCAAGGATGGCAAGAATAAAATTCCAACCAAATTGATGATTAAAGTGATAATGAGCAGTTGGATCTCGCACTTCATCTTTAAATCATGAGTCAACATCTTTTGTCCTTTTAATTTAATAAATAATTAAAAAGGTTCATAATAAAATTTAGATATAATATGAGTCTCCTTAGAGATTAGAGAGACCTCATTTTGTTTTATATGTTGTATTATCCACAAAAATAATATAATGAATAAGTTTCATTTTAAAGGCATATATTAAATTAGTTTATCCTTACATATTTATACCTTCATCCATAAATATAATATTCTCTAATCCAATAATAACTTGGATGAGATGAACATCTTCTAGCTTTATTAGAGAATAATGTATTTAATTTCTTTAAAAGAGAATATTATTATCTATTGTGGTCCTACCAACTCAAAGAATTAATATTTGCAATTGTGTAAAGATATTCGGTTTATACAAAAAAAATATAATAATCTCTTTAAAATATGATCGTACCTAACCAGAATGGACTGTCACAACTTACTTCGAACAGAACTTGAGAGTGAGGTGGGGGAAGGGTACCTGGAAGACACTCTGATGCCAAAATGAGATGCGCAATGACCTAGCAAGCAAGAGAGCAAGAAAATGTTCAATACCTGACCCTTTCTAAAGAGAGGGTATTTATAGTCCCCAGCGCTGGGTCAAGGTTTTCTCATTGGGTTGGTCAAACAAGCCCAAAGTGGAGACTGCCAGGTCCTACGTGAGTAGTGAGGACCCGCATGTGGTCCCCTACCTGGATGACTTCCTCCCCAAGATCAGGAGGATATGGATGCGGTCTTTCCGAGGCCACGAAGACTCCGTGATATTCAAAGATATTGACAGTCAACCCTACGAGGAGGATGCTCGTGAGGTGCTTCTACTCTTCATGGATGCTTCCTGCTATACGCGAGGTCGTGTGAGGGGATCACTCTTAGTCGGGGAGAGGATCGTTGGGTGACCTCGAGGTCCTCCTGACCGGCGATGATCTTTCCAAGACTGACTGGTTTTATCCTCGTGCAGTGAGGTTACCTCCTCGCGAGGAGTAGGAGTTATTGTCCGACGATCTCGAGGGTAGAACTGGTCAGTATACTTTGACCGACATAATTGGGTTGGGCCTCTCGTGGAATTGGGCTAAGGGCAGACCCAGTCCAGAACATGAGCCCCCCAAGTCGTTGCTCCTAATGAAGGAGTTATGACTTAAGTCCAACTTTTTCTTTTACGAGGTGCGTTGCTCAACAAGGATATTTCTTTGTGTTGATGGAGAAAGTCGTCGGTTCATGGGTTTACCCGAGCAACATTCAGAATGGACTCAAGATGGGACCATCCTAGTCACAGGGAGGGGAAACCCTGCAGGGTGTAGGCATGTGGCATGATCTTTGGGATTGCAATGATGGCCTAAGGAGTAGGGGTCATCATTAGCTGAACGTGTAGGTGTCGGGGAGAAAGGAGGTTGTTGAGCTGCCCAATGCGACATTTCGCATTCCACGTCATCTCTATATATAGTGCCTCAAGGCCCATTATTTACGTTTACATTCTCGCACTCTCCACTCTTCCTATCGCCAACACCGTGGCGTTTCCTTCTGTCGCCACAGAACCCGTCGTGCATTCTTCTTCAACCTTTGTTGTTCTTCATCTGCTTTGTCCGAGTAAGTACTTTTTCGCGATACTCTTGTTTTGATAATGTTTTAGTTTTATAATTTCACGACTGGGGGTTCTTCTCGGGGAATTCATGTATTTATACGTAATTTTCGTGATTGAGCCCGTGATATTCATCGTTTCCCCGACACTTAGATGAGTTTACCCCGTAGTATTCATATATCCCTATAAAATTCATGGATTTTGCGCAAGAAGTTTCTGCTGTCCCCGGTGAATTCATAAGTATGGCCGATAAATTCATACTTTACTCGTTGTACTCTTCCTGTGCTCGGGGTATTCATGAAAATGAGCGTTCATCGTTATAACTGTTGTGTGGATTTATAAGATTGGCATGATTTTCGTGCCCTGACCGAGGGTCGAGTATTAACCCTTCTGCACGAGGGACTGTCGACTTGGTTTGAGTGCCGCCTAACTTATTACATGCGTTGCAGAAGGATTAATTTGGATTTGTTATCGAATTAACCGGTTTCCTCTGCTTTACAATTAAAATGTCCAACACTCTAGAATCTTCCGAGCACGTGGATATCAAAGAGACCAGTGTATCCGAGGAGGGTGTCAACTTGGTTAACACGATTGATGATCCCGTCTTGGCTTGGGTCGGGGCGGAGCCTCGAGGGATAGCCTCTATATATAGTTATAGTATGAGGCAAGCTTACATTTTCGTCGAGCAAGCTTACATTTTCGTCGAGGAAGAGCGATTCCCTATGTACGAGGTCGTTTTCAAAGATTTGGGGCTTCGCCTCCCTTTCAATGATTTCCAGGTGAGGGTGTGTAACACGGTGGGAGAACTAACTTGGTTGTTTTGCGTTTGATCGTAATTGTGCAGATAGTAAGAGTTGCCACCGACTATTCTTTTATCCAAAAGGAAAGGCTGAAAAGAACAGGAAAGACCTTTAGAGATGTTTTCTTGAGTTCGGGGGGTAGATTATGAAAAGGGAAGGTATTAGCACCCTTTTCATCCGTAGTTATCTACGGGCTCTTAGTTACTTTCTAGATCACTTGCTTTTGTTTAAATGTGCTTGTGGTGTGGGTTTTGGAAAGTATTTTTAAAATGTCTTTGTAACGGTTCTCGTTTCTATAATAACGCGTACACAATGTTGTTTCAAAAATAGTTCAAAGATGTGTTTGTGGAATGTGTTTTTGAAAGTGATTTTGAAAAGGTGTATTCTTCGTAATGACTCTCGTTTCTATAAGAACGCGTACAAAGTGTTTGTCTTTTGAAAATGTTTCAAGATGAAAGTGTTGGTGTAAAAATGATTTTTTATTATGAGAAAGCGAGCAACTAAGAGTGAATCTACCTACTCAAAAGGTCTTAAATTTTATTTTCCTCCTCCTTTAGATGTTGCTATCTTACCATTGATTTGGTAAGAAGCCCCATTGTCAGATGTGAAGGGACAGGTGCGGGTCAATCGTACAGTCATAGAAGGCAGCTTGTGAGACGCTTTAGCAATTTTCGTAAGGTACTAGATCGTTTTATCAAAGGCAACATCGAGAGACTACAATCTTTTTTTATTGAAGGGTCTTTGCTAAAGCGTCCCATATTCGAGGGACATGACTGTTTTTCTGAGGCAACAAGCGTGGTTACCCTAGAGGTGCACGTGTGAAAGTATGTTCAATTCAAGTTAAATTTGTCTTTGATTAGGGTTATCTAGCGATTGTTTTTAAATCTTGCCATGCACACCTAATTACTATACAGTATAAGGAAAACAGTAAATTGCGAAAATTAAAATTCTACGCTATTACAGAGCTTTCGGGAGTGAGGGTACAAATTCACAAATTGGGATGGATCAATGCGATTAAAAGTCCAAATAGAAAAACAATACAATCAAATCTAATCGAGCAATTAATCGAAATTACAACAAATTTATGAAGTAAAATTAATTAACAAAGTAAAATAAGGAAATAAAATTCTTAGCATTTGTTTGAAAAAGTTTGGAAAGAGAATTAAAAAATCTATTCTATTAAAGAAAATAAAATAATTGATTTAAAGAAATTAAATTGTTTGTATATATTTTGTCTTTTAGGTTTTTTTTTGTTATTAAGAAATTAAATAAACAAATTAGAACTAAGTACGAAAATTAATTAGTAAAATTAATTACAAAATTTCCTAACTTAAATTTTAGAACTAAGCTAATTGAAAAAATTATCTAACAAAATTTCATGAGTTATTAAATTACTAAAAAAAATAAATAAACCCAAACTAAATATTAAAATAAAACAAAATGGAATGGTGGTGTTAAACTGAAATGAGGGTGATGTTGTTTTTGAAAGTATGGGCTTTAGAGGTTAAAGCCCAAAGAGTTTTTTTGTTTTAAAAAAAAATGAAGCAAACAAAAAGAAAATAGGTCCCAACAGGGGTTGAACCCGGGTTCCCTTAGTCATTGCAAACAATGCCTTGCCAACTGAGTTATTCTATTTATTCGTTTATTGTTATGAAACTATTAATACAAAAAGGAAAAAATTAAGATACTGGATCACTAAGCCCAATGGGCCGACCCGACTTAAACAAAGAAGCAAGGGAAGTTTGTGTAAACCCTAATCTTAATGGAGGCGCCGCGATAATGTAGAATTGGAAAGGGGGGAAATTGTTATTTGCTTCTCAATAAACTCAACTTAAATGCTTAATCAAACAAAAAAATAGGAACAATTCTCTTATTCTTCTCAGGCATGCATTTTCTCCTTTTTCTATGCTTCAAAAAAAAGTTCTCATCTTTCTCATCTCAAGTTATCCTCTCAAACTATCTACACTGATTTTGTTTCTCTTCAACACCTTCACACTTTCTCTGTATCTTACGGTCTCTAATTCTAACGAACATCAACAACATTCCGATCTCACTTTGCAGTTTTCACAGTCATGCTTAGAATAATAACAACGAAAAAAGCTCATTGTATCATGAAGGTAACAACAACAATCACTCTAATTTTGGTACAGAATTTCAAACAATCAACAACATAATACAATTCGCATTTCAGAATAATAACAACATCAACCGTAGCAAAGAAAGAATGAGTGAAAAAGAGATTTACCGGATTGGAGTTCCTCCTACGAGTCTTCGAATCTTCTCAGGTAAGTTTAATTGCCTTTGTTTTTAATATACTTTTCTTCTACAAAAGTATTGCTCTGTTGCTCTGTGCGAAGTTGTCAGTGTTGCTGAATTTGTTATAGTTCTGATATGGCTGGCTGTTTAGATCTAAAGATGTTGCAGGTTGAGGATGGATGTCGTTCAAAATTGAGGTTTTGTGGAGATTTGGTAAAGGAAGGTTTTGGAGGATGGTGTTGATGAAGATGTAAC